CCCCCTCCCCCCCACCTACTGGTAGGATAAAAATGCTTTAGTCTATGCTTAACTACCTAGTCTGTTAACTGTTTAATAGTGTTTAATTGATAAAAGTATTAGATTCCGAACTTTCTCTTAAACTTGTTTGTATTCCAGGTGAGAGTACCCAGGATAACGGGTATGACTCAGATGATCAGATGCAGATAGTTGAGGACGGAGAGAAGAGCGGAGAGGAGGAGGAGGAGCAGGACGGAGGAGATATCAAAGATAGACTGTTGAAGATGAGTATCGGAGTTCCTAACCTTCTCTCTCTAAACCTACCTGAGAATACAGATCCCAAGGAACAATTGAAAATTATCGGAGAAACCATAATGCAATTAACCTCAAACCTTGCTAAAGTTGGAAAACCAAGTAGTATCCAGGAGTTATCCATCCTGCAGGCAACCCTGCTCAGCCTACAGCAGAATCAGCTCATTCAGTTTCATCTTATTCTCCAGGTTCATCAAACATCTACAGATTCCAACTCCGTGTTGGAGACAGCAGCAAAGTTGGGAATACAGAACCCATTCCTCACCCAGCTAGCAGAGAAAGAGAGGACGGAGAGTACAATCCCCGAGGAGAAATCTATCTCAGGGTTTGATGTTAGAAGAGAAAGAGAACTGTTTCCCCTTCCATCCTCAGCAAACATTCCTTTATTCCCGAAATTCAATATTCTAGAGCCGGAGAACTCTGTCAGGAACTCAGAAAATCATAATGATTCTTCCTTCACTTCATCTATTATACGGGACCAGGAGTCAGGAGGAGAGAGACCTGTCAACACCCTTGAACTCTTGCAACAGAAGGCCCAAGGAATATTAAACAGTGCTAGCAAGGGTGTGCTGGCAAATAATATGACTGATATGGGAAACTGTGGGAGTCCTGTGGGAAAGGATGAGGGCGGGATTAAGCATAGATGCAAATATTGTGGAAAAGTGTTCGGTTCCGACTCCGCCCTTCAGATTCATATCAGATCTCATACCGGAGAACGACCCTACAAGTGTAACGTCTGCGGGAACAGGTTCACAACCAAAGGAAATCTCAAGGTTCACTTCCAGAGACATTCGGATAGGTTTCCGGTCGTCAAGATGAACCCAAACATGGTCCCGGAGCATTTGGATAAATTTTATCCGTCCCTGCTCCAGCAGTGTGAGGAAGCTGAGAAGAAAGGTTCTCCTATGCCTAATATAAACAATCCTATTGCTGGAATGAACCCTGTTGTTCCTCCAGGTATGACAATGCCTACGAATCTGCCAGGAATGCCTCCTCCTGTATCATCTCTCCACCAACAGATGCAATTACCAAAGTTTCCAACACCTTTAACAGGTGGAGCTCTACCCAGATATCCGCTCCCTTTGGAACCCTTGAGAAAGGAAGATATACACTCTGATAAACCCGCCTGGCTTAGAAACCTTCCCATTCTTCCAAAACCCTCCTCACCACCTTCTTTGAATTTCCCCCCGGGTGGGTTGAAAAGAGAAGTAAAGGAGGAGAAGGATGAGGATGAGGTAGGATTTACTCCGAAACTATACTCCGGAGAAGATCTATCTTCCATTCCAAGAAAGCGTGAGAGTGAGAAAAGAGAGCACTCTCCCTACGATGATTCAAGAATACGACGAGAATTCTCTCGTTTATCTGAAAGCGGAGACAGTGCTGTCCAAGAGGAACCTGAAAACCTATCCTCGGATAAGAGGGATGAAAGTAAGTCTCCATTATCTGAGAGTACTGAAGATAAATTTATATTTAGACCCGGAATGGCTCCTTTAAGACTTCCTCAATTTCCTGTTGTACCGGGACACCTTTTAAATCCTTTACTGCGGTCCCAGGAATCCAACTTGGATTCTCCCCGAGGTCAAATCAGTCTCCCCCACAACCTGGATCCTACCAAGGATCCGAACCTATACAATACTCTTCTCCCTCTACCAGGTAGTACTGATAATGCATGGGAAACCCTTATTGAAGTTGACAAAGCCAATGAAACTACAAAATTAGAATCAATTGTGGATAATATAGGAAACCAACAGAATGAACCTAATGAGTGTTTAATATGCAATAAGGTTCTTTCCTGTAAATCTGCTCTTCAGATGCATTACAGAACTCATACAGGCGCCAGACCGTACAAATGTAAGATCTGCAAAAGAACATTTACAACAAAGGGAAACTTGAAGACTCATATGAGCGTACACAGGACGAAGCCTCCAATGCGCTCCTTCCCTCAGTGCCCCGTCTGCCACAAGAAGTATCCGAACCCAATTATTCTGCAGCAACATATTAGAACACATACCGGAGAAAAAACTGAGATGAGTCTAGAGCAAATATCCGCTGCGGAAATTAGGGATTTTCCACACGGTTTATCACCTGAAGCTCTAAACAAATTTCTCCCTGGATTTACAAACCTGACTTCTCCGCTCTCTCTCTCCAACTATGATGACGAGCAGAGCGAGGATAAGCATTCCCGTTCTTCCTCTGTATCCTCTTCTACCAGTGTTGGTTCCAACATGAACAGTTTATCTCCGTATCCGTCCTACTCATCATTTTCCGCTTCTCTAGCAGCCCTGGAGAAACAGGTTAAAACCATGGAATCTACTCCAAAGCATCTAGATGATGAGAGAAGATATGGTTTGATTAAACCCTACTCTAGAGAAGTATCTCCAGGTGTTAAGTGTGAAGAACCAGAGGATCTCTCCAAGTCCAGTAGGAATAACAACCTGAGCAGGTCAGAGTGTGATAGCTCGTGTGATCAGAACCAAAACTCCGACATAGAGGATACACAGGACGAGGAGAAAAATCAGAAATCTGAGAACGGATCTCCTCCTCAAACCTTCTCCATGTCACAGATGATACTACCAGGGCAGAAACCACTTCTTGTTCCCTTCTCCGGTATCCCGTCCTTCCCTCCTCTCCATCATTCTCTTCCTTCCCAGCTCTTCCATCCTATGGGGTTTCCAAACCCTTTGGCCCACCTAGGTTCTCCAGGTGGCCTCCATCAACCTCCTGGGTTTCAACATCTTCCACTTCCCTTCTCCGGGATGAGACGTAAGTTTTTTTTTTATTATCTTGTCTATAGGTTCAGAAATATCTCTCTTTCGTTCTTTCTTTGTAATTTCTGCATGAAAAGCTCGGGTGGTCTGAAATGATCTAATCTTGTTTGAAAACATTAGGACAGTCCTATGTTAAAGGGTCTGGGTATCCGAGATATTGAGATCTGAGAAGACAAAAACCATCCATTGTGTTTCCATCCCCACATTCTTACATTGAAATATTTTATCACTCCACCCCTTATCTATCCATCTATTATACATCTATCTATCTATCTATCTGTCAGTCTATCTGCTTATCTATCTATCTATATATTTATCTCCTCTTCATGTATAGATCCTCTGACAGAAGATATGTTTGCTGCCCGCGGCAAGACCACTTGTCAGATTTGCTTCAAAGTATTCGCGTGTAACTCAGCTCTGGAAATCCATATGAGAAGCCACACTAAAGAGAGACCGTTTAAATGCGAGGTTTGCGGGAAAGGGTTTACAACAAAGGTATCTAATATAAACTTAATCTAGATTTATAAAAATATAAAAAAATTAAATTGTAAAAAAATTTTGTTTTCTTAAATTAATAATTTTTTCCCCAGGGAAACATGAAGCAACATCATATGACCCACAAGTTTCGAGATTCTGAATCCTATGTTCCCACCACCCCCCAACCAAACAGTAAATCCCCTGATATGTCCCCCTTAACCTCTCCCCCCTCCCGTCCTAGCTCCGAGCCCCTGTCCCCCTCCTTCACCCCTGTCGGAGTAAAAAGGAGCCAGGAGGAGGTTGGAGTGTCTCTGGTAGATCGACCTCCGGAAAAACGCGCAATTCTGTGTGGATAAATACGGGTATATAGCACTTTCTACCTAAACTTTAGTTAAATTGGAAAAGTTGGATTTTAACGTAAAACACTCTAAAAATGTACATTTATTTCATTTTAAAAGCAAACACTAAAAATTACTTGAATTGAAAACTCAATTTAGATTTAAATTTATTAAATAGTTTTAACAATTAGATGCACTTCTAGTCACGATGCAAATTTAGATTTTTTTTTTGCACTCGTCAATTTAATTGAGTAAAAGCGGAAATTAAAAACTCAAAATAGTTGGAAAACATCTGTTAGTTTCCCCCTGTTCCTGCCTAACTTGCTTTATAATGAAATATGCAGTTTGTTTCTAATATAACGAAACTCATCTTAACTTGCAATTTTGGAAAGTAAACATGAAACCTTGAAAGTTAACTTGAAATTAAATATCTAAGCTTTAATGTCCAGCTTTTTAGCTTTTTAAATTTCTGACCCACTGACTAGCAATATTAGGATAGAACTTTGTCCTAACTGGCTAAATCAAGGGGAGGGGGGGGGGGGTAGACGATACTCTTTTTTACAATTGTTATTCTTTTAAAATGATTTTGTAAATAAAAGTGTCTAACTTTATTATTTTTTTAGAAACTGTTGAAGCCGCAAAGCCTAAACAATTCATTCAGTCCTTGAAGCGCCCACGCGTCCTGCTCCCACTCTGATGCGACTGTGCGACGGTGCGGATATCTATGTTTTCCGATTGTGTTAATTCTAAATGCAATGTTAGCTGACAAGATTTAGGTTTTTCATATTTTCTATTCCTTAACCTAACATATCTTTCACTTCCCGTGAACCTTAATGTACTGCAAAATGTTGTACTGCAGTTGTACTCAAATACTGTAATTGCACCATCACTTTTAAGCTTTATAGATGCAATTAGAACTTGAATATATCGTAAATATTGTTTATCTTAGTTTTTAAATTGCTGTATGCATTCTGTTTCAAGAAACCCAGTTAAATGTTGTTATTGTTTTAGTTGTGATCTGAACCAGTTCTTAAACCAGTTCTTTAAGAATAATATCCAGTGATGATATTTATCAACAGTTGTCAATTATTGCTATGATTTAGAAGGGAATATCCCTCCCCTCCCATACACTTCATCTTTGTTTATTTAAAAATGAATGTTTATGTTAAAAAGATCTCTAGTCAGAGTTTAACAATGCACTTTCAGGGTACACTGGTTAGGTATACTGTGGTATACTCTGGTATACTCTGGTTTACTCTGGTATACTCTGGTATACTTTTGTATACTCTGGTATAATTACTCTCATGTCTACTCTGTACTCTGAAATTTAAGTATACTGTGATATTCTAGTATACTCTGATATTCTGGGATACTTGGTATACAGTGTAATAAAATTATAATAATTGAACTATACCAAAATACAAATTCTGCAGCCAGAATTTTGTTAAAACTATTTAGCAGATTAAATGTTTATACAATTTCTCTAAATATTAGGTTGAATTTTTACACGTATTCAGCCTTGTGTACTCTAGTTTACATGTCTAGTTATATTTCTTGTACAACAAGTAAGCAGTACATTTTACTAGTTGTCTTATCCTTGTACACCCTGTACATACATACATCCAGTAATTAGTTGCACTTCAAATAAAAATTTATTACTAACGCAGTTTTTAACAGAGATATTAGAAAGAGTTTTTAATTGATATAAACAAGGGCGTATTCATGAGGGTATTGTCCCACCCAAGAATTCCTAAGGGGGGCAGCAATCCCCTCCCCCCCAAAAAAAAATCCACTATTGAAAATCAAAATGTGTTTCCCCTTGGAACAAATATATATAACAAAGGAACTAATTTTCTAATCAATATATCTTTGCAACCCGAGGCCGTACACCTTTGATAATTCTAATGATAAATTAAATATGTTAGATCAAATAAAGTTGTAACTATCAATGGTTTGCAAAGATAAATGAATTAGACATAGGGTATGAACAAATTTCTAGACGTGGCAAACTAAATTTTGGCTCTGAGCACAATTCTTCCTTCTTTAACCACAAGAATATTTTTACGCCCCTAAATCTTACTTATTCATAAAGAGCAAATATGTAAGTTCTGTTTAATTATTTTAGAAAATTTGTGTGTTCTAAGTGAAATATTTATGTTACTGTCTCGTGTCTAATGTTTTTTTTTGTACTTTTGGCGGAAAGCCCATCATTAGCTGAAAACTAAAAAAACTTGTTTTTCTTCGAAAAGTTTTCTTGAAAAACTTAAATATGGTTTGTGTTGAGTAAAATGGTCGCTTAGGTTTAAAACTATGCAGTTTTTCATCGTTGACCTCCATATCTCAGCAGTTTATCTTTCAAAGCAATAAAAAACCTGTTTACACACAAATAATATCAAAGTAAGATATTTACCCGCTTTCAGGCATTATATATGTTACAGCCAGCGCGCGGATCTATTTCTAATTTTTAACATCTAGATTTATAAAAAATAAGTGTTTTTCTGTGAAAAAATAATTTTAACCTAAGTGCATGAAGTAAAGGAATTGAGTATTTGCCACAAACTGAAATTTTATAATTTGTAATTACTATATCTTTTTAACCTGATGGTGATATGTAAAAATTGCAAAATCTATATCTAAAAAAGAGAGAAAATTTAATACATAACTTAACTATTTTTAACTTAGATTCTAACAAAAATCAAAGTTTAAAATATATAAGGTATGCGATGCGACATTGGGTTGCAAAAATATGGGCATTAAAAAATTTCAGTTTGTGGACAAAATTCAGAATATTATAAAAATTTATCTTGTCTGTCTGTGTGTTTGTTTTTGTTCGTATCCAATAAACGTCAAAACAGCTTAACAGGAAATGAGTAAAGGGGCTGCTTGTTGCGTAAAAGAGCTACTAGTGGCGTAAAGAAGCTACTAGTTGAGTGTAAGAGCTACTAGTGGCGGGAAGAAGCTGCTATTTGAGTGTAAGAGCTACTAGTGGCGGGAAGAAGCTGCTAGTTGAGTGTAAGAGCTGCTAGTGGCGGGAAGAAGCTGCTAGTTGAGTGTAAGAGCTACTAGTGGTGGGAAGGAACGTCAATAAGGAAGTTAAGTAGCTGCTAGTGGGGAGCAGAAATTTATTCTGGTGATCTTTGAATGTTAATGACAGAGCTAATGGTGTAACAAACAAAAGGTGAAAAACAAGACAAAAAATTGTCTATTTTTATTTGTGTTTAATTGTGATGAAAGTGCACTGCTAGTTCATGCTGATGCTGATATATAAAACAGAAATAATTCTACGTGACAAACTGACCAAGATATCCACCCGGTTTCATTTCAAAATTTACTCGTCAAAAGGGCACTTTCAAAACTGGTTTTCAAAAAAAAATTGAAAATGGATATTGATAAGAAATGAATCACACTGAACCAAGAAAATGCTTCAAACTGAGAAAAATTCACCAACAACAAAACTTAAATAAACACTGGTTTATACTTTTAACCTTAGATATCAGAAAAAAGTACAAAAGCAAAAATACTTCTAAATTAAACGATGATTTGGGTTGATCCATAAAAGTTTAAAAACAAACCAAAAATATTTAAATTGCATTAATCTTATGCATTTTAATGAATATCTCATTGAATGAGTTCAATGACTTATTCTCCTCTTTGGAAGAGGGAGGAGGGGGAGGGAAGGGGGTGGGGGGTAGTTTAGATGAATATATAATATCGGAAATAAAGGAAATAAATAATAATTAAATTAATTGATATTTTATCTGAATGAATTAGTTTTTTCCCTTGTAGTTTCTTGTATGAAGAAAATTGAATGAAAAACAACTAGTTTCCTAATAGAAGAATATCATGCAATTGTAAACCAAGGCTGGGGTGCACAAAAACATATATATTGCGTCATGGATTTAACATTTTTAATATTTATTTTTATCACATCTGTGCAATTCTTTTAATTGATTTTTCTCTATCTCTTTTTTCAAAAAAAACATCTGAGCTAATATAAAAGATGTACAATTTGACATCTATTAACAAAAAGTAACCGTTCATGAAGCATTAATTTCTTAAAAAATGAGTTGTAACATGTAGTTTTTTATTATTATAATTCTTCGATGTTAATCGTCCAATCAAAATTTCTTAAAATGTATCTTTATCACCCATATGTAATTCTTTCGATTAATGTCAGGGTAAGCACTAAAACTAGGCTTTAATATCCCTGGGATAAACTGAGTTTACTCCGTGTCAGGGTTAGGATAAACTGAGTTTTCTCCGTGGCAGGGTTAGGATAAACTGAGTTTGCTCCGTGTCAGGGTTAGGATAAACTGAGTTTGCTCCGTGTCGGGGTTAGGATAAACTGAGTTTGCTCAATGTCAGGGTTAGGATAAGCTGAGTTTGCTCAATGTCAGGGTTAGGTTAAGCTGAGTGTGCTCAATGTCAGGGTTAGGTTAAGCTGAGTGTGCTCAATGTCAGGGTTAATACTGAAACCAGGTTTAATCATCCCTAGGATTAGCTGAGCTTGTTCCTTGTCAGGGTTAAGATAAACTGAGTTTTCTCCGTGTCAGGGTGAGGAAAAACTGAGTTTTCTCCGTGTCAGGATTAGGATAAACTGAGTTTTCTTCGTGTCTGGGTTAGGATAAGATAAGTTTGCTCCGTGTTAGGGTTATGATAAACTCACTTTTCTTCGTGTCAGGGTTAAGATAAACTGAGTTTGCTCCGTGTCAGGGTTAGGATAAACTGAATTTGCTCCGTGTCGGGGTTAGGATAAACTGAGTTTGCTCCGTGTTAGGGTTAGGATATGCTATGTTTTCTCCGTGTCAGGGTTAGGATAAGCTGAGTTTGCTCCGTGTCAGGGTTAGGATAAACTGAGTTTTCTCCATGTCATGGTTAAGACTGAAACCAGGTGATATGATATGATATTATAACTAGCGTTAAACAAATCATTATTTACTCAAGGGCAGGGTTAGGCTAGGGATGATGAAGGCAGCGGAGGGGGTAAACTTGGGGGGGTAGGGGTACACACCCGGGTGGGGGAGAGTGGGGGGCACACCTGGGTGGGTAAAAGAGGAAGTGCTTTTCATCAACATGTTCCCACATTAAAGAGAAAAAAACCGTTTTTTATAATAATCTCGGAAAATGATATTTCGTTTTCGTAGTTATTGTTTGAAGTAAAAGACCGTGGCCGTAAAACTGGATAAATACGTGGATTCTCCGGGTTCAGGTCTCAGGATATATGAGCTCATATTTCAGAATATATGAGCTCACATTTCAGGATAAATGCATTCTATCCGTGTTTAGGTCTCAGGAAATATGAGTTTATATTTCAGGATATATGGATTATATCCGGGTTCAGGTCTCAGGACATATGAGTTTATATTTCAGGATAAATGGATTCTATCCGGGTTCAGGTCTCAGGATATATGAGCTCATATTTCAGGATATATGGATTCTCTACTGGTCCAGGCCTCAGGATGTTTGAGCTCATATTTCAGGATATATGAGTTCATATTTCAGGATATATGAGTTCATATTTCAGGATATATGGATTCTCTCCGTGTTCATGTCTTAGAGGTACTTAAACGACCCCTTTTAAAATTAAATACGAGATACTAACGTACTTTTACGAGTCACTTAAAAAGAATATTGAACATGAAAAATCCCTAATCCCGGTCTTTTTTTGGGTCTCCCTGTGTGAATTCATATTTCAGGAATATACTGATTTCCTTTCATTTAATAAAACCTTCAGCTTGAAAAAACTCGAATATCGGAGTTTTAATAAATGGTAAAATAACGCAAAAACTCACATCCTTTATAACTAAACATCGATTGTTTATAGTTGGGACTACTCAGCTCTACTCCTTGATATTTAGTTAGAACTTTTTCTATTTATTTCCAATATTCTGCTAAACATGAAATAAGTTTTTTATTGCTGATAAATTGTTTTCTAACGGAATTTCTAGAATTAAATGTTAACAAGGAAAATAGTATTTATTATTGATGGAAACATGGTAGATGCTTCTTGTTAATTTGTGGATACTTCTTGTTTATTGGTAGATACTTCTTGTTTATTGGTACTTCTTGTTTATTGGCAGAAACTTCTTGTTTATTGGCAGATACTTCTTGGATACTTCTTGTTTATTGGTAGATACTTCTTGTTTATTGGTAGATACTTCTTGTTTATTGGTGGATACTTCTTGTTTATTGGTGGATACTTCTTGTTTATTGGTAGATACTTCTTGTTAATTGGTAGATACTTCTTGTTTATTGGTAGATACTTCTTGTTTATTGGTGGATACTTCTTNGATAGATAGATAGATAGATAGATAGATAGATAGATAGATAGATAGATAGATAGATAGATAGATAGATAGATAGATAGATAGATAGATAGATAGATAGATAGATAGATAGATAGATAGATAGATAGATAGATAGATAGATAGATAGATAGATAGATAGATAGATAGATAGATAGATAGATAGATAGATAGATAGATAGATAGATAGATAGATAGATAGATAGATAGATAGATAGATAGATAGATAGATAGATAGATAGATAGATAGATAGATAGATAGATAGATAGATAGATAGATAGATAGATAGATAGATAGATAGATAGATAGATAGATAGATAGATAGATAGATAGATAGATAGATAGATAGATAGATA